CTTCTTAAGCTTAACATAAACTCTAAGTTTTAGCAAGCACCTTATTCTAAGAGAGTTATCTGCTCTGTTACAAAGCTAGCGCTCTACGCAACTTCTGTAGAAGCTTAGATTACTTTCTTTTACTCTCATTTACTTTCTTTTTCTTCTCTTTACTATATTTAATTATAGTTTTAGAAACTTTAGTTAATAGTATTATAATTTATTATTATTTACTATAATTACTAGCATAGATTTAAAGAAAGTTGTATTAGTAGAAAAATAGCAAGTATATATAAGAAAATAATTACTATATTAGTAGCTATTCTACTTTAGTTTATACCTAATAAGTTTAATTGCTACTACAAACATATTACTAAAATACTCGCCCCATACCTGATACCTATGCCGCTTCCCTAACCACGCTGCATACTCTCTCCAGTCTCCGCCTAGCTTTCCGCAGTATCCGCACTGTCGGATAATCCCAACTGCCCAGCCATCCCTAACAGCAGCTGCTTGTACCAGCGGTACTACTACATTTGGCCATTAACATTTTGCTGTAACGTCCCTGCCTGTAGCGCAATACCTCTGACTAATAGAGCAGCGTTGACAACTGTTCTTAATGCCGTTGTTGCGTATACCCTTTTGAAAATGGTCTATGTCAACCCTATGCACGCCTGCCTGTGCTGTACACTTCATTGTCTTGTGCGTCTGCCACTTATCCCGCCCCAAGTTGTCTAGCACCCAGCATATAGCGCATCCTGCCCGCACCTTGTCCATTATCTCTTGAACCTGTTGCCACTCAGTGCTTGTCTCCTGCTGTGAACGCTTAAACTCGCAGACTCCCTCTCCACACTGGTCACATCTAGCAGACTTAATGTTGTTGCACGCTACAGCCTTGCTGTCCATGTACATGCTCATTAGCGCTTGTCGGCACCCGCGGCCTGTTAAAAACAACCCTATGGCCTGCACGCATAAGTTGTTGCTGTGCTTGAGCATCTCCTGTTCCACAGATCTACGCTCTACAACAATAACTGAGTTAACCTCCTCCCTGGCCCGCCCCCCACGCCCGCTCTCTTGCGCGAAGTCGATCATGCTCCACGGCATCCCCACGTGTAGTATATACACCACCCTGGGGTAATTAACCCCTGTCCCTAACGCTAACGTAGCCACGATCAGCCCACCAGAGCCAAGCCACTGCTTTACCCGTTCAGCGCGATTAGGGACGTTAGCGTGATAGTATTCGCATCTAAGCTCTTCTGCTATCCTTTGACACTGTTCCTTGCTGCGGCAGTACACCACGCCCTTCTCTCCTGTCGCAAGCAACGACAACTGCCGCCGTGAGCCTACCGCGAGCGCTGTCTCCTCTAGCTTGCCGGCTTGACACCACGACACAAAGTATCGCGTGTTCGGCCGGACAGTGCTAGCGCGCACGTACGTTGCACACCGAACCAGCATGCCAGCCTCCAGTTCGCACTCTCGTGATGGCGGAAGCGTCGCCGTGAGCAGT